TATTAAAACAACAATATATATATTATTCTGTGCCATGGAGTTGGTTCCGACTTATAGAGACCCTCTACAGGGTTTCAGAAGCTGTAAATCTTTACGGGAACAGAAACTTCATCTTTCTCCAGTGGAACAGCTGGTAGTTTCAAACTGTTGACCATGAGATTAGCAGCCTGATTCATTACCACTACACTACCAGAGCTCCATATATATAACAAATAAAATAGAGTTTCATTTCTCATCTTTATAAATAAATCATTTGTTGTTGTTATTTAGCTTCCTTGAGTTATTACTGTTAAATATGCATGTAGATGTATGTATATCTATATCTGTATCTATATCTATTTCTATATCTATATCTAAATCTACATCTATTTGCTGTTGTTGGTGAGTACCGTGGAGTTGGTTCCTACTCACAGTGACCCTGCACAGGGTTCCAAGGCTCTAAATCTTTACAGGAACAGAAAGCCTCATCTTTCAACTACAGAACAGCTGGTAGTTTTGAATTGCCGTCTTCGAGGTCAGCAGTGTGATTCATACCCACTACGCTATACAAGTATATATGTATATATATATATTTACTTTTTTCATTGTTGCTCTTATTCATATTGTAAAGTGCCATCAAATCTGTTCTTATTCATAACAATTATGTATAGTGTTTCTGTGTAGTAAGTGGCTGGTATGGACCACTATAACCCTGCTTTAAGCACTCCAGTACTTACCCAAAGCCAAACTACGTATATGCATTAACACACATTGTTACATCAGGATGCCAAATGAATCATAGATTTAACAAAATTAATGTTTAATATTCAGTCATCTTGCATTAGAACTCATAACTTGCTGTGTGGTGCCAAACTTCACTAAGAGAGACATCTACTTTTTTTTTTTGAACATATGTGACTAAGGACACTTTTCTAAAATGTGTTAAATCTGACTTGCTATGTATAATATGGCACTAGTACCAGTTTATAGCTCAAATGGCTGCTGTGAGGTAGAAATAGGATTATGATACAATATTCCATGTACTAATGAGAAAGGCTCTCACGTATTCTACTCGATAGTGTAAACTCATTGTACAGGTTGAAGATTCCAGGTAATCTTATAATGCAACCATTTTATTGTATAATTTAATTAAAGTAGGTCAATAGAGTAAAAGAAAATCCCTAAAATTAGAAATTATTGAATGCTGGAGTGAGTGGGGGAAACTTTTTTTCTTTTTTCAAGAAAAAGATTGGGATTCCACTTTGCTTTTAATAGGGGTCAAGTTCATTTAGTTTTTAGGCACTGTTATCTGTATCACCAATAGGTCATTGAAAGTGGTATTAGAGAAACCATTGTGTTTCTGAATCACACAATTCATCTTCAAAACATGTCCTCACAGAAGAGGATTACTTAGAACAATCTAAAAACAGCATTTTGGTCAACGCTCCAGGAAAAGAAACAATTGCACAAAGACATACCTGATGAATGAGTGATGAAGGGTGAAGCAATACCTACACTATTTTCATGTAAATTCTTGAGATATTCATGAACAACTTGTTTAATAGCATTACATACATGGTCTTGAGAGCCAGTCAAAATGCAGAAGGGTGGGAGCCTTCAGTTTATTCTGCTTGTCTTGACCATACAGAAGCACAGGCACTTGACTCATTCCATCTCTCCTTTTTTCTTACAAATCTTGTATCAGGGATGTAAATTTGAAGTAGTCCTTAGATGAAGAAGTATAGTATCACTTGCTGTCTTGAATTCCATCTTTTAAAAGACAAAGGTAAGTTCCTCGTGTTTCATGGTTGTCTCACTTAAAATGTGTACAAGACACTCCTGTTTAACCTAAAACAGTTGTTAATATCTGTTTCTCAAGAAATTGAGAAGGGTTGAGGCCTTGGTAATAATTAAAACCTCATACCTATTTTTGGAAATTAGTAATCTATATATTCTAGTAAATGTCAAGGATTGTAATAGTAAAGTTCTAGTATATTAATGAAATGTGATTTATTTTTCCATTCAACAAGCACATTTTATTTCAATAAAATATTTCTTATGTTCTATTGTTTTTCAAGATTCCTGGTGGTATTGCTGATAAGCTCTCTAGAGTTAACTGAAAGGTTAGATGTTCCCACCTACCAAAACTGTGGGAAAGTTCTTTGCAATCTGCTTCTGTAAAAATTACAGCCAAGAAAATGAAATCACATTTCCACTCTGAACTTGAAGGCACCCACCACAAACACAAACATAACCTCAATATATTTATTCTTACACTTTGCTCTTCCTCACTGAGGGTTACATTTCTGTCCTGCAATGCTAATCACCATTGCTCTGTTTCTATTTATTATGTTGTTGTTGTAAAGCGCCATTATGTTGGTTCTGACTCATAACGATCTTGAATATGGTTTCCAGGAAGCCACTGGTTGGTTTTAATTGCCAGCTTGAGTTTTGAACCAATCTTGCAGTCCAGTGCTTATCCTACAGTACCACACAACTATTTCTCTGCTTTATTTTTATGTTCCAAAGAATCAGTTTTGACCTTTAGCATACCTGGATAGTGTTTCCATGGAGCAGCTAGTGGGTTTGAGCCACCAACCTTGTGATTAGCAGTCCAGTGCTGATCCTACAGCACCACACTAGGACTCCTTTATTAAAGTCACTATTATTTACATTTTTTAGAAGTTACAGCCATAAAACTATGGTCATTTCTTCTTAATAGGTTTGAATCACTAACCTTTCCATTACCAGCAAAGAGTTTTACCTTTGGTATCACCCAGGGAATCCATGTAACTATTAAATTAAGAGGAACATAAATGACTAAAATGTATTTTGAAACAACAAAGAACCCTGTTGTCTTCAAACAGATTTTGTGATCAAGAGAAAAACTGCTCCATTAACTTTATGGGATATAACCTTTATAGCATCAGATTGCCTGGACTATACTTCACTTTATGAGTTTGAACAACAAGCCTGTAGGTAATTATTGATGTTGTGACTGTTGACTCCATTCTGACTAATAATGATACTGCATAGGGTTTCTGAGAGGCTGGTGAGTTTGAACTGTTAGCTTTGAGGTTCAAACCGTCCTGTGTTCAAGTACTTATCCAACAGAATCACACCAGGATTCCATTTCAATGTAAAATTTGTTATTTAGGGATATAAAATGTATTTAGGAATCACCTAAGTTGAGTTTCAATTAAATTTCAATTAAATAAGATAAAAAATCTGAATGTTTATATGAACACAGAATAGATATAATTTTTTATAAGAAAAAAAGAGTATTGTTGGAAAAATTGTGACTTAGCACGGAAATGTGTGTACTTACCTTCCTTCATCCCACAGAAAGAAAAAGAAAACCCCAAACAACAGAAATATGACCAACCACTCAGTGGTAATGGAATTCTACCTTATGGAGTTCTCCAACACCAGGGAACTCTGGGTCCTGCATGCCTTTGTATTTCTGATAATTTACTTGGAGACCATCATGGGGAATCTTCTCATCATCATCCTTGTCACTCTGGATCAGAGTCTTCATACCCCCATGTACTTCTTCCTCCAGAACTTATCTTTTCTTGATTCTTGCCTCATTTCAATCACAGTCCCTAAATTTATTCTGAATTCTTTATCCCATAAGAGCACAATTTCTTTGTCAGGATGTGTGTTGCAGGTCTTATTGGTGATTCACTTTGCTGGATCTGAACTTTTCCTCCTCTCAGCTATGTCCTATGATCGATATGTGGCCATCTGTCATCCTCTGCATTATGAGATCATAATGAACAGGGGCTTCTGTGTGCAGATGGCAGCTGCTTCCTGGTTTGCTGGGAGCATTTTTGGGGTTCTTTACTCAGCTGGAACTTTCTCTCTGTCTTTCTGTGGATCTAGGAAACTCCCACATTTTTTTTGTGATGTCCCATCTCTTTTGAAGATTTCTTGTTCTAAGAAGCATATTATCATTAATGTCAGTGTATCAATCGGGGTCCTGTATGCACTTTTATGCTTAATTTGTATTGTTTTTTCATACATTTGCATTTTCAATATAGTGCTGAGAATGCCATCATTTCAAGGCAGGTCAAAAGCCTTCTCCACTTGCTTGCCCCATCTGGTAGTTGTGACCACATTTTTTATGACAGGTGTCATTGCCTATTTGAAACCTGTCCCTGACTCCCCAGATCTTCTTGATTTTGTTATGTCTGTTTTCTATTGTGTTGTGCCTCCATCATTGAATCCTATAATATATAGTTTAAGAAACAAGGAAATCAAAGTAGCTTTATGTAAGATTCTTTGGAAACTAAGCCACTATAAATTCCATGTGAAAAAATAACATGTTGAAAGGCAAATTTCATGTCCTTTGTGATATAAGGTAAATATTTTAATAGATCTTAATCTGTTAAGAAAATCAAAACATTAAAATGTAGTCAACTCATTTTGATTATCATTCCTTGACCATTATCTCATAGCTTATGGGAGCTAGAAGCTTCTGAGAGTGCAGTCCATGTTACTGAGTCCTCCTACTTAAATGGGAGCATAAACTCTGTGTTAGCAGAGTAGCCTCTTCAAAGATGTCCATCACCCCATCCATGTTATCTGTGAATTTTACCATTCATAGAATAAATAACTTTAGACAGACAATTGAATAAAGAATGTTGAAATAGGGTACTTATTTTTGATTATGGTGTCCAACGTAATCACAAGGATCACTAAATTCAGGGGATCTTTACCAGTAGTAGTCAGAAGAACATGTGTCTAAGGAAGCATCATTCAAGTGATGAATCATTGTTTATTATAAAGACAGTAGAAGGTCATGAACCATAGAATGTGAACAGTCTCTCTTATTAGGTACCACTAAGTCTTTCTGGCTCATAGTAACCTTATGCACAACAGAAGGATACACTGTCTGCCCACTTATCTGCCATCCTCACAGTTGTTATATTGAGTCTATTGTTGCTGCCACTGTATCAGTCCATCTCTTTTGGGGTTTTCCTCAATTTTGTCAATCCTCCACTTTACCAAGTATGATGTCCTTCTCCAGGGACTTGTCCTTCCTGATATCAGCCTCTGGTGTTAGGAGAATCCAAGAAAATGGAATCTTTCTTAGAACCTCTAGAAAAGAATATGCCTTTGCTGATCCCTTAATTTTAGCCTTAGTTTTAGTCAGAACTAAGTGTGACTTGTAACTTAGGACATTGTAAGTTAGGAAATTTCTATAATTTTTAAGCATTAAATTTGAGGAAATGACACAACAGCAACAGGAACTTCATATAAACCTAACATCTCTTCCTACAAGATTCACTTAAATCAAATTTTCTGATATAGAACAAGTATGTTGCTGTAAGTTCTGACTTATTGTAAACCCATACAAGATTTCTGAGCATAAGTTGGTAGGTTTGAAATGTCTACTATCCTGTTCAAACCGACCTTGTGGTCCTAAGCTTATTGTGCTGTGTCAAACCATATTTCAGTTTCAGCCTATGAAACTGATATGAGAAATATAAAAAAGTGTACTATTTCTACTTTCAAGATTTTCACAATATGTCAAAAATAAATTCAAATTTTATTTATATCTATTTTTAAACATTCTATTACCTTGTTATTGTTGCTGTCAGATGCCATGGAGTCTATTTATATTTACAGCATTTATCAGAACAAAAATGTCCCATACATTTGTTTATGGAGTAATTTTTACAGAAGCAGATCTTTCACCCTTAGGGCTTTCACACTTGGAGCCACTTAGTGGGTTGAAAGCACCAACCTTTTGGATAGCAATGAATTGCTTGAATGCTGTGCCACCACTTCCCCATATCTTCAATTGCATTACAAATAAATGTTAATATTGATGTCTGTATTTTGTTTTTATTTTATTATTATAAGATTGATATTTCAAAATTTTATGAAAATAAGATTAAATTTTAATTACTTAAATGTGTTCTATAATAATTTGAATTCTTCTCTAATTCCTGTGTTTCTTAAGACTCACTCAGTATATTATGGTTAATACTTTTGGCTGTCAATTATTTTGCACTATTATTCCAGGTTTCATTTATTTCCTAACTTTGTTTCTACTATTATTTGATATATTGAAAATTATTATAGCTTCAATGTCTTGTATAATGTATGAAATAATTAAAATCTAAGTGAAAGTCATTAACTTTAACCTTAATTATAAAATCACAGAATGATATTAACTCATAGATTAGTATTTTTCATGGTGCAAGTGACTTGAACATTTTATAAAATAAACTGGAAAAGATTAGTCACCATACAAATTCTGAAAAGTGTACACTTCAGAATTTTGGGGAGATTTTGGACACAAATTTCTCAGGTGACAGGGCAGGGTACAGGGTCACGAGGTAGGAGCAAAAAGATTGCTATTTTTAATTAATTGTTTTTTAAAAATTTTGTGCTAAAATATTGGGTGATAATATCTAGCTAATGCAAACAGGAATCTTTTAGTAAGCTAGTTTTCTCATCATTGAAATTTTATTACCCACTCAAATCACCTTTTTATTTGCATGTCTTTTGGTGTGATTTAAAAAAAAATCTATTCTATTAATTGTATGATAAATTATCTAATATTGCATGGTGTATAGGGAGCAGTACAGTACTTCTATACAGCATCTCAAATGAAGCAGTTTCAGGGGATGATCCCAGAACACTGAACTATAAATAAAAGAATATGTAGAAAGTTCAAAGAATTAGAGTCAGTGGAATTTATAGTAGAAGCAAGAAAGGTGGTTTTTCTGATTTGTGGATGTCAGCTGGCTCCCAGAGCAGACATCTTGGCCATGAGGATGTGGGTGAAGGATCAGAGGAGCACTCCCACCACAGAGGTCTCACTGATCCTCAGAAATAAATGTGTGGACATTATTTTTATTTTATTTCTGTCTGTCTTCATTGGCCTCTCACTATCTGTGCACCTCCACTCTGGTGAGTAAAGGGGGTGCCTCAGCAAGGGACAACCTCCCACCATTGGGAAGTTCTACTACTCATACGCATAGATCTGCTCAGCAAAGACCACACTGCACAGAATCTAAGAAGGGGGAAGGCACTGCTTAAAACCAAACTATCTCCCAAAATGTCTAGAGCTGACCCTGGATTGTTTATCACTAGGAAAATATCTTCAATGGAGGTTCTGGTGTTGGTAACAGACACATTTTAAAGAAAAAAAGCCAAAAATTAAATACTGAGTTATGGCATAAGGAGCAACAGTTACATTTAAAATTTCCCAGGCTGCCTTGAAGGTAAGAAGCTGAGAAAGGTGCATAAAAGATGTTCCATAGAGGGTTTGAAAAAAATAAAGAATAAGTAAGGAAGGCACTATAAGAACAATCAAATAAGGTAGATATAGCATTGGAAACTGTTCAAAATGTGCAAAAAGAGGATCAAACTATTAATAATAAAATATGAGAAATGTAAAATATCAGAAATGAACAATACATTGAAAGAGGAAAGGAGTAGAATTGAAGATTTGGAAGCCAGAATCAGTGAAGAGGAAGACAAATCTCTCCATACTACTAAGATAGAAGTGCAAACAAAAAAAAAATAGAAAAATCTGAATGAAGTCTATGAATCATATGGGACAACATAAACAGGAAAAACTTAAGAATTATGGGCATTTGAAACAGGAAGAATCACAGAAGCCCACAGAGAAGATAGTTGATGAGCTGCTTAAAAAAAAAAAAAAAAAAAAAAAATTCCTTACATCCTGAAAAATGAAAAGATAAGCATTCAAGAATCTCAATGAACCTCAGGAAAGACAGATGCCATTAGAAAATCAAAAAGACATATATATCATAATTAAGCTTTCCAAAATCAAAGACAAGGAAAGAATCCTGAAAGCAGCTAGGGAAAAGAGAATTGTTACTTACAAAGGCATGAATATTAGATTAATCTAGGATCTCTCAGCAGAAACCTTGCAGACAAAAAGGCAACGGAAAGACACATAAAACCCTGAAAGACTAAACTGCCAACCAAGAATTGTCTATACAGAAAAGCTGTCAATCAAATATGACAGTGTAATATAAACATTCCAGGATAAACAGAAGCTAAAGGATCTTATCCAAGCCAATCCAGGACTTCTAAACATTCTAAAGGGCATTATTTGGACTGAGAACCAACATGAACAGACAACAACCAGAGATTGACATACGTGGCAGAACCAACTGGAATGCAATCAACCAATGGAAGAGTCCAGAAGAGGAAAAAACTACAAGAACAAATTCAGAGTATCTGGGATGTCCGTTTATGATCAAAACAATTACAATGTGAAAGAAAGTAAAAGCTTATGACCAAAGATCCAGGTAGGGAGAAGATCAGGTAGATTGCAGGATAAATAGACTTTTTTCAATGGAGGAAAAGTTAGTAGTATATAGGGTAACCTCAAAGAAAATAATTACAACATGCAAAGAAAATGAAAATCCAAGAAATAGAAACACTAAAATTAAGAAGAAACTGACAAGAAAGAACACAAAATATATGTACTCAGCACAGGAAGATATGCACAACAAAGAAACCAGCAGGAACACTAAAAAGCAAACATGACTGCAATTAATTCATACCTATCAATAATTGCACTAAATATCAGTAGATTAAATGCATGTGAATTAAGAGATGGAGAGTGGCAGAATGGAAAAGAAAATAAGATCCTTCAAAATGTTGTCTGCAAAAGACACATCTTACACACAAATACAATAACAGATTAAAAGATAGAGGATGGAAAAATATACCAATCTGATGGCATTAAACAACTAGAAGTGGCAATATTAATCCCTGAAAAATTAATTTTAAGTCAAAAACCAGTTTAATCGGTAAAGATGGACATGAACTCACGATTAAACGGTCAATTGAACAAGATAAGACAGCCATAATAAATATCTATGCCTCCAGTGAAAGAGCTCCAAAATATATAGACCAAACTCAAATAGATTTGAAGAAAAAAAAATAGATAAACTGACAATAAGAGTGGGAGATTTTAATACACCACTTTTAATAAAGGAAAGAAAAAGAAACTAGACAAGATACAGAAATAAACAATACAATCAGCCAACTTGACCTCATAGATGTGAACAGAGCATTCAAACCAACAACAACACAATACTCATTCTTTTCCAGTGCACAAGGATCATTCTCCAGAATAGCCCATGTGTTAGGCCACAAAACAAGCCTCCATAAATTTATAAACATTAAGATACTACAAAGCATTTTCACAGACCACAATGTTATAAAATTAGAAATAAACATTAGGAAGATCAAAGAAATAAATTCAAATACATGGAAACTTAATAAATCCCTACTTAAAAGCTACTGGGTAGTAGAACAAATAAA